CACTGTGAACCGTGGGCGTTAGGGAGTTAACATCTGTCACCGGTGGTCTCGATAGCGCGTCCGCGACTACATTCGTGCTACCTGGTTTATAAATTAACTCGTAATTATATTCTTCTAACTGTGCCTTCCACTTCTTCATCTTCACATTTGTGTTCTTGTTGCTTAGCGCAAATGTCAAAGGTTGATGGTCGGTAAATATCTTTATGCTTCTTGCTCCATACAAGTAACAATTCAATTCCTTTAAAGCCCAAATTATCGCCAGCATTTCTTTCTCATTTGTCGCATATTCCTCTTCTGCCCTACTGAGAGTTCTAGAAAGGTATGTGATAGGTCTATTGCCTTGAGATAAAACTGCTCCTAAAGCGTATTTCGAGGCGTCAGTAGTGAGTTCAAAGGGCTTATCAAAGTCGGGATAGTTCAAAACGACTTCCTCCGATACCAAACAGTTCTTGAGCTGTTTGAAACTTTCAATCTGTTCGGAATTCAAATTGACACTGATTTTTTTTGACTGGTTTCTCGGGGTTTTCCCTATATCGCCTCTCATCATGGAAGTTAATGGTTTGGCTATTTGAGCATAGCCCCTTATGAATCTCCGATAATGTCCGGTCAAACCCAGGAACGATCGCAAGTCATGAACTGTTCTGGGTTGAGGGAAATTAACTATGGCCTTAAGTCTGTCTGGGTTTGCAGAAAAACCTCCTTCCTTTACATTGAACCCTAAGAAGTCAATTTCTTCCTTTAAGAATTCACTCTTGTCCAAATGAACTTTCAGATTAGAGTCTTCCAAAGTGCGGAATATTATCCTCAAATTTTCAATGTGTTCCTTTTTAGTCCTACCAAATATCAAAATGTCATCAATGTAGACGTAGCACCGTTTCCCTATATGCTCTCTAAGAATATCATCTAGAGCTCTTTGGAATATTGCAGACGCGTTACGTAGTCCAAATGGTAGTCTTGTGAACTCGAACTTTCCATTCTTGACGGAAAAAGCTGTTTTCTCAATATCGGATTCCCTAAGTGGAATCTGATGGAATCCGCTCTTTAAATCTATGGTGGAAAAGTATTTCTGTTCGCCTAAGTTAGCCAAGATTTCTGTAATTTCAGGTATGGGGTATCTGTCAGGTCTAGTTATCTCATTAAGTTTCCTATAGTCAATAACCATGCGGTATTTTTTCACACCTGAAGCATCTGGTTTTTTTGGTACTATCCAAACTGGAGCATTATATGCGGACCTGGAAGGGCGAATTATCCCGTCCCTTAATAGTTCTTCTATCTGTTTGTCAATTTCGGATTTCAGTACCATTGGATACGGATAGGATTTTGAATAAACTGGACTATCACTACTCGTATTAATTTCAGCTTGTACGATTGTTGAATAAGTGAGTTTTTTATTGGGATCTGCAAAAAGGTTTGGATGGTCATCCAAAATATTCCTGACTTCTTTTTCATCTTCGGGATTTAGATGATTTAAACGTAGATTCATGTTATTAATCTCATCAATTTGCAGCTCTTTCAAAGGAAATTTCTTTCCATCCAGAATTGTGAGATAGGATCTCCAAGTGTAAATCACTGCATTCAAAGATTTCAGGGTATCATTCCCTATTATCCCATCAAAGGTCTCTAGACCAGGAAGGATGTAAAATTCTAACTTTCCGATCCCGCAATTAAAAATGTCAATAAAACTATGGGTCTCTATACTAACTATGCCGCCTACGGACTTAACATGAAAGGTTTCTGGTTCTTTAGAGGGTTTCTAATAAATTTGCCATTAATATAATTTTTGTTCGAACCGGTGTCTATAAGAAATTTAAGTTCGTTGCCATTTTTCATTCTGAAAGGGAGGTATGGCAACGTTGAAGCTAGTCTAAAAAATTAACGTCATCTACAATTGCCAACTGATCGTCTAGATCCTCCTCGTACGCTTCGTCATAGGAAACCTCATATTCCTGTTCATCAGAACCATTCATTTCATCCGGCTCTGCATCTTCACGTATTTGGGCCTCAACATTAAACACTCTCTGCTGCTTTTGCGGCTGATGAATATTTCCTGAATTATTTCTCTTAAAGTTAGGCTGAACATTGTTAAAAGCATTACTCAACTGTGGCCTATTCTGATAGTTTACCTGCCTAGTCTGTATTGATTGATCCACGTCCATTGGTACAGCAGGTTTAGGAGGAAGTGGGGGTCTGTATCCTCCGTATTGGGGGTGTCCAAAATTATTCACTACTGGAGGTCGATTCGAAAAGTTCGCCGGCCCTCCGTATTGTTGTTCTCCACTTCGGAAATTCTGATAACGATATTGAGTAGGGCCTCTGTACCTTTGGTCACCTTGAAAATTCCTATCACCAATCGTCAGCTGTGGGTAAAAATGTCTAGGAGGGTTAGTTTGGGGGATCCTGTTTGGTCTAGATCCTTTCTCGGTAGCGTGTTGAATACGCACACCTAGATTACCTAATTTTAAACAGGCATTTAGAGCCTGAGGCAAACTTGTCGGGTTTGTAACACTCATTAAGCTTGGAAGATTACCATTAAGTCCTCGAATAAAGGTGTCCAAAGCCTTGTCCCTATATGTTTGGGTCAATACATCCAAAGCCTCGTTCCCTATATCCAGACAATCAATCTTGTCCAGAATCAAAGACAAATGGTGGTAAACCTTCTGGTAAAAATCTGTTATGGTTTGCCCACCCTGAGATAGGACGGTCATTTGATACTCTAAGGTCGAAATATCTCTCTTATCTGAAAAATGAAGCACTAAACACTTTCTTATCGCTTTCCAATTTAATGGGGTCCGATAAGACTCCAAAGCCGTGTCGGCCTCACCAACAATTTTATGCCTAACAGTGTGTAGAATTGTGAAGTATTTGGTTGTTCCCCTTTGTGACTCATAAATGTTCATGATCCTATCAACAGCTTTCCTCCACGAACTAAATTCTCCTGGCTTGCCCGAGAATTCCCTTAACGTCTTCACTATGTCTGGTATTCTCTCTCCTTCTGAGATATCCCCAGATCCTTCTATGTCGACATCTTTAGTGGCGGTAACATCCTCCCCCTGTTTGAGAAGGTTTGCCACCGTCTCACTTATTATTCGTTTCACCTCATTAGTCTGACTTTCCGTAAAGGGATTAAACCTTACGGGAGCTGCCCCAGAAGGCGAAGATGTCTGTCCTGAAACACTCATAGCTTCGACCCTTGTTATTAAGTTGTTTAAATCTTCCGGCATTGGCCGCTCGAAAAAAAGGAGAAAAAGAAACACCAAATCCTAGTTCTCGTCACAAATCTATTATCAAAATTTCTTTAAACTTATTTCAGCACGGATATGACTCTTTAAATTTGGATGCCACACTCTATTTTTTTGTTTAACTTAATCTAACATTTCATATTTCTTACATTTGTTAATTTCGCACAAATATGATTTTTTTTGTAAATTTAGATGTCACACTTTATTTTTTGTTTTACCTTACTCTAACATTTCTTTCTTCTTACTTTGTTATTTTTGTTAAACGTATTCTAGCACAAATATGATTTTTTGTAAATTAGATTTCACACTTTCACTTTCTGTGTTATTCCTTATTTTGTTTAATTTTATTTTAACATTTCTTCTTTTTTACTTTTGTTAAATTTATAATAACTTACTAATAATAATTTGATCATTTTCCTTATATCCCGGTAGTCCGCTAGTTCTTACGTAACATCCTTTTCGTACTCCTACTCAGGAACGGTTCTCGTACCGGCTGTTGGGATGTTTTAATCCTTGTGGTTGTTGGGTTCTAGGATGTGTTGATCCTTGTAGTTGTTGGGCGCCAGTTAATGTTAGAAGTTAAAGTTTATTTCACACTGCTATGGTGTTTCTTTATTTTGTTACTAACATTTATGTTGCGGTGCTATGCACCTCTCTTGTTGGATTTACCATTAAGAATGCCTTCAACTTAAAACTAATATTATACTGCAGCCTGGTCGTGCTCGTTATTACGCTGAGTCATCACTTGCGGTGCGCTGGTATTAGTGCGCGTGTTTGTGGCGGATGACTGCCCTGGTGTCATATTCCTGTTGATTTGTCGGACTGCTTGCGCAGCATAATGATGGGAATGTTTACTAGTTGGTTTGCATATTTAGTTTGATGTTTATTAGGGTGAGCCGTTAACTTATATGTTTAGATCCAAACATAATGTATGTTTGACAGGAAACGAACTTATGTTTGAGTGCAAACATAAGTTGTGTTTGGACCTAGATATAATTTATGTTTGGGTCCAAACATAATATATATTGGGGTGCAAACATAAATTTATGATTGGGTCCATTTGTATACTTACTGCAGATATAATTCAACCATAATGCAAACTAGTTTTAAAATCAATTTTTGATATTCACATTTTATTTAACATAAAAGAAATTCATACATATTATAATATATAATATAAAATTAATTGTAATAATTAATATAATATTAATATCAGTAATAAAAAATTGTTAAAAATAATAATATTAAAATAAAAATTCTAATTATAAAAATATTAAAGAAAATAAATAATTTATAATGAAACATAGTTTTTTATTTTCTTTAATATTTTTATAATTAGAATTTTTATTTTAATATTATTATTTTTAACAATTTTTTATTACTGATATTAATATTATATTAATTATTACAATTTTTATTATGCTTAAAATTATTCTTATGTTTCTAATATTAATTTATTATGTTTTAATTTTTATAAATAATATATTGTTGTTATTGATAAAATAAAATAAACATTTGTTAATAAGTTTATAATTTATATCGTGCCAGTTTTCATAAAATTTTTATTTTATATTAATTTTTTAATTTATTATTATTATTCTTAATATTTGTTATTATTTTTATTTATTAATTTATTATTTTTCCTTTTATTACAATCACTATTTTTTCAATAAAGTAAACTACTTACAATCTGTTAGGGTCTTCTTTTAGACATTCGTCAATAAGGGCCTTCGAAATATTCACCCTATCTTTATTTTGCAGGCGTTTTTCGCAATAAAAATTCTCCATATTTTGTTGACAGCCGGAATTGACTTGATGGACTCTATGTCAGTCTTTAAAGTTGAAATAACATTTGTTTTTGGGGTAAGATCCCCAAAACCACCTACGGATTCACACTCCGATAGAGTGCCACTAACTGTCGATGCTGATGCCACTGATCGAACGGACTCTAAATGAAAATTAAATATATTATTTAAAAACAGAAATATATTATTTAAAAAAAGAAAAAAATATTAACAGCCTGTTTCTTTATTTTGAAACGAAATTTTTTTTGTTCCGACATAAAGAAACAGACTGTAAATCCAGTGTACTTACCTCCAAATTGCAACTCAATATGAAAAGTAGGCGTTGACATATATTGATGAATTACTTTTTCAAACTGGTCTTCTTTAATGGTTGCACCAAACACTAAGGCTGTTATTTTTCTTGAGGCATCAATTTTTAACTCTAATTTGGCTGCTTTTATAAAGCTTTGTAGATTTAAAGGCTCCGGCGCTTCGACAAATAATTTGTCTTCCCCCAAAACAGTTGGTATCAACATTTATTACAACACTTGCGACACGACGCGAAGGCACAAAACAAATAAAAAGAATAAAAAAAGAACACAACCAGAATGCCAACATGAGACACGCGCAAATGTTACGCTCTTTTGTTCTCATCAAGCAAATCGGTGTGTATGCATGAACATTAGTAAGAAGCAACGTCTCAGCAACAAAAAAAAAACATACAAACAGCTCTTTGTGTGTTGTTGTTGGCATTTTTTGGTGCATGGACAATAGAAAAGAAATAAACGTCTCAGCAACAGTTTCCATCCCTCTTGCCGCGCACAAGTTGAGTGTCTCAACTTGAGACACGCGAGTTAACTTCCGTACCGCCGACAAATAAGAAAACAAGAATTATTCTGTTTTAGATGCCAAATACAACTAATGCTTTATTCAAAAAATTCTTATATTTAAGCGATTTTACAATTATTGATTTTTCTTAGAGTTAACAAAGAACAAAGGAACATAAAATCTAGAGCTATCAAGAAAAATACTTAAGCTAAAAATTTGTATTGGGTACAGTAAAAGTAAACATTTCTTTTTGGGTTATTTCCGTCATAGTTTTATTACTAGTGTTGTTATTGTGATGTTGAAGTGGAGAATTATTGCTGACGAAATAATGTCAACAATATTGGTGTTAGCTCTTTGGTGCTTATGACAATGTTGTAACTAATAATGATGTTAATAATAATGATATTAATAATAATGATGTTAATAATAATGATGTTAATAATAATGGTGTTAACAATAATGATGTTTTTAATAAATGAGGTTGTGGTTGAAAATAATGAACTTAATAATAATGTTGTTTATTGGTGGCTGTAGGTAACTCCTCCCTCTCCAGAATGAAGTGAGGGCCAAAGGGGCTTCGGATCATTTGTGGCCAGAACTTCATTATTGTTGTGGGTTATGGAGTAGATTAATTTTATAGGCTTTCTTATTACTAATATTATTGATAATATTATGATTATAGAACTAATTATACCAAATGCGGAATAAGAAATTGTTTTGTAATTGTCAGAGTCTGTTTGAAGAAATTCGATATTTGCTTTATTTTGGAATCTGTATTGATCTAGTTTGGGTAATGTTAGTTCGTCTCTTATGGAGAGTGTTGTAATATTGTTTGAGAAGCTAGTTTGGAAGGTTATTGTGCTAATGTTTTCTTGGTGAATATTCGGTTTATCTGTATACCAGACATTATTAAATAAGATTTTGCATTCATTAAAATTAATAACAGAGGAAGACTTGATTGGTAGACTCTTAGTTACGTTGTTACATACTGTGGTTATGTTTCCTATTGGAGGGTTTATAAGCACTAGGTAATTTGGTTCTGGATATATTATGTCCGTAGTTAATCCTATGTCTCTAAGGTGACATGCCACCGTTTCTTCTCTAAGCAAAATTGATTTTAGGCAATCTCTATTTCTTTCGTATTGAGTTTCATAGTTGCAGTAAAATTTTTGTTCTATTTGTTTGCATCGGTTGTCGAAAAGATAAAGGTTATCATTGTTTATTAAAGCGTATTCACCGGTTATTATTTCTAAGGTGTTATTTATGGGGGTTTTGATTATGTGTAATAATTTAAATAGTTCATTAGAAATTATAGGAATTTGTATGTCAAATATTATGTTTGTGTCGTTATAATATGCTGTCAGTTGTAGTAATTCATATATATGTTCTGGTGATATAATGTCCGTTGCATTGTTAAGTATGTTGTGTATTTCATTCAGTTCGTCAGTAGTTAATATTAATTTTGGGACGGTGTTAAGCCTTGCTAATACTACTGATTCTGCGATATCATTAAGGTGGTCGGTAAGTATATCTATGTTAAAACTGATTTGAAGTAAATTTTGCATTTGGATTATTGCATTAACCGAGGGGTTTATGGCATTTCTTGTCTGGTTTTGAATCATCATTATAGAACGTTCTATTAGGTTTTGTTCTTCATTTATGTGATTGGTAATGTTTTCGAATCTTGTTATCATTTTGTTATTTAACATCATTTGGTTTTTAAGCGTTGTTTTTATTTGGGTATTTCCTCTAGTTAAATTGTCAATGTTTTTATTTAGTTCTTCTGCATCTTTGTAGTCCATATTTCCCGTTATGAATTTGATTGCTGATCCTAAGGCATTTACAAGTCCCCGTTTTTTCCTATAATTTGGGGTTAATATATCCAATTTGGCTGAGAGATTATTCAGTTTCAGTTTCGTAGTTCTAAGTTGTGATGCTGTAAATCTTGCCTCCTCTATTCGATCCAAAGTTTGCTTTATAGTGTTAATATTGTCGTTATATGTTTTAAGGTTAATAACATGGATTAGATGTTGAAAGTCTGTGATTAATTTAGCATCGCCTAGTTGTAGTGGTATAAGTCCCTGAGTCTGCGTTATGTTTGTTATTGTGACGTCGGATTGTACAGGTACGAACCCTAGTATTATCATAATAAATAATTTCATTGTTGATTTCCAAGGTTTTTATCTGCTTCTTTCCTCCGATGAGACCTGTATAAGTTGCTTGTAGATATGGACTGCTTCAGGACTATTTCTTGTTCTTCACTTGTAGTTGTTGTTTGTTGTTTTAATTGTTGCTTGTTTTTGTTTTTTTTTTTTTTTTTTTTTTTTTTTTTTAGTTGTTTTTTTTTTTTCGTTTTTGTTACGGTTGTTGTTATTGTTATATGTTATTAACTTTTTAATTGTTATTTTTAGTTGATTTTCCTTTTTTTTTTTTTTGATCTTCACTGTATTGTTATTTGTTTTTGTTAGTTGGTTTTTTTCTTGTTTTTTCTGATCTGATCCACTATGACCGTATTATTTGTTGATATTCCTTCAACGATTTTCATTAAATATTTATTCCAACCAAAAAGATATTCATTCTCTCCGGATGGTAATATTTGTTGATATTCCTTCAACAAAATATTATTTATGAATTTATATATATTTTTTATTTAAGATATAATTTGTTGATATTCCTTCAACAATTTTTATTAAATATTTATTCCAACCAAAAAGATATTAATTCTCTCTGGATGGTTATGTTTGTTGATATTCCGTCAACAAAATATTATTTTTGATTTTAAATATATATTTTTATTTAAGAGATATTCCTTCTCTTCTTATAGTAAATTGTTGATATTCCTTCAACAAAATACTATATTGTATTGGCACTTGATTTTCTCGGTTGTACGGACGTAGGTTCTTTTTTTTCCGATTGTTGGCGCACGATTTTTCTCCTTAAGGATTACTTGATATACCGTCAAGCCTAATTAATTTAATATATTTTTTCTTCACCAAATTTTTCTCAAAAAAAAAAAAAATTTTATGTCCTTTAAAGGATAGTTCACTGTTTTTTCCACAATTAACTTGTCACTGTTTTTTTTTTTTTTGGTTTTTTTTTTTTTTTTTTAAGGATACATTTATTTAATTATATTTTTTCACTTGAGAAAGACCGCACCAACAATGGCCGTACGACTGCGCCAGTTAACTTCCGTACCGCCGACAAATAAGAAAACAAGAATTATTCTGTTTTAGATGCCAAATACAACTAATGCTTTATTCAAAAAATTCTTATATTTAAGCGATTTTACAATTATTGATTTTTCTTAGAGTTAACAAAGAACAAAGGAACATAAAATCTAGAGCTATCAAGAAAAATACTTAAGCTAAAAATTTGTATTGGGTACAGTAAAAGTAAACATTTCTTTTTGGGTTATTTCCGTCATAGTTTTATTACTAGTGTTGTTATTGTGATGTTGAAGTGGAGAATTATTGCTGACGAAATAATGTCAACAATATTGGTGTTAGCTCTTTGGTGCTTATGACAATGTTGTAACTAATAATGATGTTAATAATAATGATATTAATAATAATGATGTTAATAATAATGATGTTAATAATAATGGTGTTAACAATAATGATGTTTTTAATAAATGAGGTTGTGGTTGAAAATAATGAACTTAATAATAATGTTGTTTATTGGTGGCTGTAGGTAACTCGCGCCAATGTTACGCTCTTTTGCTCTCACCAAGCAAACACTGCCGATCGCTGCTGTAACTATGTGTGGTGTGTGCGCGGCAAGAGGGATGGAAACTGTTGCTGAGACGTTTATTTCTTTTCTATTGTCCATGCACCAAAAAATGCCTACTTGAGAAAGAAAACGTTACAACAACAACACACAAAAAAATTGACTCCTCTGTATATATGTCGGTGTTAATGCGAAAAACGCATGTATGTATGTATGCATGAACATTAGTAAGAAGTAACGTCTCAGCAACAACTAGAAAATTCACACCGCACAACAGCAACGAAAAAACATGCAAAAAGTTTTTTCGTTGTTGTTGTTGTGCGATGTGTATTTTCTAGTTGTTGCTGAGACGTTACTTCTTACTAATGTTCATGCATACATACAACTTCTATTTACAGTTATATTTGGAAGAGAGCAAAAAATGTTTCGGTTCTGCTTTGTTGTGCGGCCAACCAAGCCAACACATCATCAACGCAAAAACAGACTTCTCACCCTCCTGTCTTCTTTTAAGTCACCTATAACACCAATTCAAAAGTAATCGAGAGCTCTGTTGTTTAGCTCTTTGAAAAAAATCCTCTCCGCACCCATAAAAAAATATGTTCTAACATATAAAATATGTTGGTACCCAACAAATAAAATTGAGTTATGTTACAAAATGTTGCAAACTAATATTTGTTTGCACCGAAACAAATTATGTTTGCATCCAAAAATATATTTGTTTGCAACCAGTCCCAAACAAATATATGTTTGGATCCAAACATATTTCTAACATATATTTTTCTGCGTGTAGACATAGACTTTCAAAATGTTTATATATTTTATGTCGTACTTTTTCATTTTTTCTTTCTTTTTATTTTATTAACATTTATTTTATTATTACAAAATTTTTCACTTATTAAAATGTTTTTGCACTTATTAATTATTAATGTTATTGTATTTTTTCCAACGGTTATTTTATGTTTTGTTCTTTAGAACAAAATTTTTCACTTATTAAAATGTTTTTGCACTTATTAATTATTAATGTTCTTGTAGTTTTTCCAACGGTTCTTGTATGGTTTGTTCATTAGAACAAAACTTTTCACTTATCAAAATGTTTTTGAATTTATTAATTATTAATGCTCTTGTAGTTTTTTCAACGGTTATTTTATGTTTTGTTATTTAGAACAAAATTTTTCACTCATCAAAAGGTTTTGAATTAATTAATTATTAATGTTCTTGCAGTTTTTTCAACGGTTCTTTTATGTTTTGTTCTTTATGAAAACACCTCGACTGCGCCAGTTATCTGCTGTGGAATTAAAACACTCTAGTTATCCACTGTAGAATTAAAACACTCCTGTTTTGTGTTTGGTTGTGGCCTTAAGGCTGAATTTTATTTCTTGCTTTTAATATTTTGTGATTCAATGTAGCGACAGGGTGTTGCTGACGCTGCATCGAATGATTGTCTGGGAATGTGGATACGAAAACAAAAGTTTTAGATATCATTTGGAACTTTTGTGTTATGCTTAATTCAACAAAAAATAAGTGGCAACGCCCGGGACGTAACTCGTCCGACATTTGGTTCTCTGGGCGTGTATTTATGTTTATAAAAAAATGCTTATTTGGCGTTGGAGATACAAACATTGAAAAAGTTTAAGATAAAATACATATTGGGCGCTAGATATACAAAGGTTATCATGGATAAAGCTTGACGACAATGGAACATTGATTTGAAAGGTAAATTAACAATTTGGCAGGTTGTTCAGTTGTATATTGCTGCATTATAAATTGTCCAAGTC